CTCCCACCTCAGCCATGCGGGAGCAGCAAGAGGAAGCGGCTGTGTTTTGGATCAGCCTCCCACGCACACAGAGCAGCTCCTGGGCTCCTCAGTCCTACGCTCAGTGCGATGCCTGGGGATGGTCCATTCGACGGAGGGGGGCCAGGGCGAGCCGCACCCCCAGGCATCCCCCGGCTCCACAGCACAGAACCAGCTGCTCTCCTGCCCTTCAGGAGCCTCTGACGGGAGCGGGGGCACCACGGGCTGTCAAATGGCTGCTGCATCGCATTCCCCGATGCGTCTTCCCCCTTCTCCCCAAATAAGAACAAAGCTGTCCTCAAAACGACGCTTTCTGTCGAACAGCTGACCAAAAATAAAAGTACAAACAAAACTTAATGGAGCGCAAAGCCTCACATGACAAGGAAAATTCCCGCTCCAGTTCTGATCTCTGTTTACAACGTTGAAAGTGGGTCAAACTGGTCTGCGATGGAGGAATCTGTTTGGAAAATGATCTCTGAGAGGAAAAGCATCTAAGCGGCAGACAACTGCACTGCAATGCTTCCACGGGGATCCCTTCCCTGCCATCAAAGTAATTCAGTTTTACCACACAAGGTTGAAACTCTGTAACTTGAAATGATGGCTTTTTATTCAAATTATTGAAATTAAATTAAGATCAATAGAATTCCCTATCTTTTGGAGCAAATCAACTAACCATGTTTCAGCACAGATCTCCATGCCTTAAAAAAATCTAAGACATGGCTGGGTTTGGACAGCGGGGGGAAGCTGTTGTTGGTTTTGTTGATTTTGCTATTTTTTTAAATTTTTTTTTTTCTTTATAATTGCCCTCACTTTTGTTCATTTCCTGTGTTCAGGGGAAGGTTATTGTGCAGTACCATCACACTGCCTAACCCAACTATTTTGTTTTACCCCATCATGGTCTCTTTCAAAATGCAAAGGAATGTTTATGACATTAAATGGAAGTCCAAAAATAAGAAACAGTCTGTAACAACATCATTTTCCAAGGTATTTTCATTCTGACTTCCAGAAATCTAGTGAATTTAATATCTGTCCTTTCCTGTTCAAGATAAAAAATTATTATCATGTAAACAAATTCAGCCAAAACTTCCTGGCAAGAAGCTCTGTAGGTTGTTCTGAGCAATGCTGGTACACAAATACACAGCAATCTAAAGAAAGAATATACTAACCAGCCGTGAAACCCACTAATTTCTTTTATCGACTTATGAAAATTCTGTTCTTTGACCTTCAAGTGCTTGATTCCTTTTATGGTTGCAAAATCTTTATTTATTAAAAATCTCCTACTAATTACTCTCAGGGTACCCAGAGGCTTTAAAAAGCACAAAATGCCAAAAAAATTATTATTACTACGTTCTTGCATATATTGAATCCTCTTTCTAACCTGTTTTTCAAAGAAATGCATTTATAGCATTTTCTTGAAAACATCATTAAAGGCACCCCAAGCTGACGTACATTTCTTCATATTTATAATTGTTTTGTTTTTTTTTTAATGTTCTCTTTGGTTATAGTTACTATTTTGTATTTACAGAAAAATGAGCTCTGTGAATCTTCAAAGTGTCTGCTAATCTCAGATATTTATAGAAAGTTATGATCTCAAATGATTTTAAGAACTGAATCAGTCTACATCCGTGGGACAAACCTTGTTTCTTTTAGACTTCAAAAATGTCCAGTTTCAACTGAAGATTTTCAGGGCAAATAAGGAATCAAAAGGCTCATATTTTAAATGCACTCACTATAAAAAAAGTAGCAAACAGTAGTAGCCAAAAAGACCTGGAAAGAATACCATGGCACAGGAGAGGATGGAAATTTTGTATCTGTTTACCAACAAGCAAAGAAAATGAATAAAGTAACATGTAAACAGCTCAGACATAACATAGATATGAGGACATGAAAGAGATATGAGGTATAAATCCTGAGCCTACAGAAAAAGAATATTTACAAAGTTAGACGAAAAAAGGAGTGTGAGTCTCTCAGACGCATCTATGAATTAGAAAGTGCTTTGTGAATGGCCCAGGGAAAAAAGTACAGTTACCCTCACAAAACCAAGGATCCTCTTAAAAAAATTTTTTTTAGAGGGCTATTTCTCCCCAGACGTACAGCTAAGTCAGGGCCAGAGGAGACACACGGGGTCAGCAGGGACGTCCAGGGCTGCCGCCTGTCCCAGCTCCGTGCTCCACGCGGGGCGAGCTCGGGGAGGAGGGGAGGAGGGGAGCCTCCTCCTCCCGCCCTGGCTGCCACCCCAGCCCGCACGGTCCCCCCTGCAACCCGCGCTGCTGCAGCACCAGGGGCTCGGGGAGCCCCGCTGGCAGCTCCTTCACACCACGCTGGGGCCGTGCCTGCCCCAGCAAACCCTCCTCTGCGCATGGGGGCTGTGAAGGGACTCGCACCCGAACGTGAGAGGTGTTTGCTCCTCTGAGATGAAAAGAGAGCCTTTCATTCACTAACCGAGCTGTCCCCAACTACACCGGAACAGAAAAGCACATTAAGTCGGGAAACACTCTTAACACTTATTTCTGTTATGCTTTTTTGTTTATTTTGATTTCACTAGAGCCTCTTTCCCAGACTGAGTGCAGGACCCCATTTTACTAGGCTTGACATCTACAAAAAGGGGAAAGACCTTTTCTGCCCTAAAGCTCAGAACCCAAAGTCCAAGAGGTGCTCAGGGAGCGTGCCTGGAGCAGCAGTGTGGGACAGGCTGCCAAAACCCTCCTCGGGCTTGGTGCCACCGGGCAAAAGAGCCTGGGGACGAGGAGGCGTGGGCAGAGCCTGTCAGAGCCACTGGATAGCTAGGTGGAGGAACCCCACCTGCTCCCAGCCCCACGTCACATGTGTCACCTCGGATGGCAGAACAAGACATTTACTCGATGGCAGAACAGGACATTTGCCTGTTCTGGAGCCCCACGTTGCAGCCCAGTATGCTGGACAACAGTTTGCTCGTCATGTACCACCTCTACAAAGCTGCAGCCCCTTGGGAGCAGGGACATCCTCTTCAGCTCTACCACCTGAACAGCCACTTAGGGGAAAATGGTGGTGGGGAGAGCTGGCAGCAGCAGTGGCAGGGGCTCCAGCTGTCCCAGCTAGCCCCACTGGCCACCAGGGTGGTCCCTGAGTTACCCATGCTCACACAGCCACCGACACACTGTGTCCGCTCTCATCACTTCCAACGCCCGCCAAAAGCACTGCGAGCTCCTGTGGGCTTATATGGCCATACCACCTCCCAATGTACCTGTGAATTTGGGAGGCAAGAATGATCTACTACATCTGCAGAATGCGGCTCCAGTCCAGAACCGAGACCTCCATGCTACAGTACAACATGAAACAGTCACAACCCTAGTGGGTGGCAAACTGAGGATCCGAAGAGGGACAGCCCAGCCCAGTGTCCCGCTGAGCTCAAGGCATTGGTTTCAACTTTGTGGGTCTGAGAACTACTTGAAATAGAGGCACAAGAGGTAACAAAAGCCCACTGTCAGCAGGCTCCAACGAGTGGAGAACTCTGCTAACTGCAAAAGGTGAAAAATACGATGTTATTTTCAAGCAAGGAGTCATCCCATCAGCATAGCAGATGACCTTCATCAATCTTCTCTTCACCACCTTGGACTGGCACACAAAGAAAGTTTTTTGTCAATATGTGTATCTCTGTGTGCGCTAGGTTACTGAACATCAGGTTAGACAACGGTACTGTCCCAAGTTTTGGGGCACAACCAAACCCCTCTCGCTCTAGCTGAGCTACGACGGGAATTACGTAGGCACACAGAACACATAAAAGTTACCTGACAGAGTACATTTTCTTCAAACACAATGCAGACTAGAGCTGTAACGCGTTTTTTCAGCAAAAAAAAAAAATAAAAAAATAAAAAAAGGATTTTTTTTTTCCCCACAGGCTACCGAACAGTGAAGGACCCAAATAACGCTAAACAGCCTTCAAGAAAACTAAGCATCAAGCGCTAAAATGTCCTTCAGAGGCTGGAAGGGATGAGCTGAATCACCTCCCAAGCGAGGTGAGGCACCGGCTGTTCCAGCAGTTGCGTATATAAGTTTGCAGCCGGCTCGTGGTACACAAGAAAAGGGTCCATAGTCCATCCCCCAGAATTAATGCATCTCCCGTGCACAGCCAGGACTCCGCTTCGGGGAGCGGAGCGTTTGTGAAGCACTCGCAGAACAGTGGCCCGCAGGGGGAAGCCCCTCCGGCCCGGCTGCCGCTCCCCGCTCTCCCCCGGCCTCTCGACGGGGACTNCCAGGACCCCGATCCAGCCCTGCCCCTGCCCAGGACCCTCACTCAGCTCCAGGACCCCGATCCAGCCCTGCCCCTGCCCAGGACCCCCATCCAGCCCTGCCCCTGCCCAGGATCCTCACTCAGCTCCAGGACCCCCATCCAGCCCTGTCCCGGCTCTGGGACCTTCCCTCAGCTCCGGGGCTCTGCCCCAGCCCCAGGACCCTCCGTTCCAGCCCGCGCCCGGCCCCCAGCCCCATCCGAGGGTACCCCCGGGTGAGATTCAAGCAAAGCCCCCGGGACCCTGACCCACATCCCGCACCCGCCGAGGGCTGGGGCCCGGCCGGCTGCTTCTCATTTCCAGGGCCATAAACCCCTTTAACGACCGGCCATTTATAACCGCAGTAAAGCCCCTAATCACCGCCAAACCCGGCCCAGACACAAAGGCTCCCGCCTGCTCCTCCGCCCTCCCACCTTCCTCTGGATTTTGGGGCTCAGACAGCTTTCCCACCCCCCGGGTGTGCAAGGCAGGAGTGGGAGGGATGCTCCCCCCAAACTCCGCAAGCCCGTGGGATGCTCGCTCTCCAGATCTGCGCGTTTAACCCCAAATAAAGGGGGACGGGCCCCTCCCACTGCCGGGTTGTTCACCCCAAAACCCTCCCTCGGGTTCCCCCGAGCCAAGCGCAGCCACGTAAACACGAGGAAACTCTGGAAAAAGTGACGCACGTCGGGGGCTCGGGGCCGCGTCCAGCCCGGCGGGGGCGGGGGATCCCCCATGGAGGAGCCGGGTTCGCACCGGCACCGCTCCCGGAGCTGCCGCAGCCCCTCGCTTCCAGCACTAAAGGGGTGCCGGGGGGTGCCCAGAGCCGGGGAAGGGGCCAGCTCGTCCCTGGCATGAAGAAGAGGAGGAAGAAGAGCCCTCGGGACGCAGATGTTGGAGGGTTCCGGGTGACCTCGGCCCGGTAAGGGACCCCCCCTCCCGCCCACCGGGGCCGGGGGCTCCTCCACACCCCCGCCGAAGGTTACAGCTCTTTAATATTTATTTTTTTTTTAATTAGGATTTTGCACAAAACGTTTCAGTTCAAAGCGGTTCCCGTCGGGCTCCGGCGCCTGCGGGGTAAGGCCGCCCTCCGGTGCCGGGGGTGTCCCCGGGCCGGATCCGGGGGGACTCCCCCACGGGGGTCGGGGCAGCACTGGGGGCTCGGGCAGGCACACGGGGCTGCTCCCCACGCCCGAGTTTGTCCTGCCCTCTGCACGACGAGGTAGGTGGAACTTAACCACCGACCCAAGCAGCCCCCGGAGCAGAGTGGGGACTTTCCAGAGGGATCCGAGTCCCAG